TGAGCAAGGGGTACATGGGGCGGGGGGGGCAGGGAGGACATGAAGAAGGGGCGCATAGAGCGAGGGGCCGGGGGGCACAGGGCTGTGGCAGCGCCGAGACCCCCCAGCCCCCCCCCCCCCCAGGCATCAGTCCGGAGCCGCCATGGAGCGCGGCTGCATGATGGACACATCGGAGCTGGGCAGCGCCGCCGAGGAGGAGGAGGAGAAGGCGACAGAACCGCGACCTAGGACCCGCTCCAACCCCGAGGGGGCCGAGGACCGGGCGCTGAGCGCCCAGGCCAGCGTGGGCAACCGCAGCGAGGGGGAAGGCGAAGCGGCCAGCGCCGACGACAGCCCGCAGGGTACGGCCGCGCCCGACGGCACCGCCTGGCCCGGTCCAGCACCCCCCACCGAAGTCCAGGTCAAGACGCCGCGGGTGAACTGCCCCGAGAAGGTGGTGAGTGTCTGCGGGGAGGGTGGCGCAGCCCCGACGCCACGGTGAGGGGCTGCGGGGGAGCTCAGTCGCGGCTCTCTCCCGCAGATCATCTGCCTGGATCTGGCGGAGGAGATGGCTCTGCCCAAACTGGAATCCTTTAATGGGTGAGTGGTGGGGGCTGGGCTGGCCTGGGGACCCCGGCTCTGCCATCCCCAGCCAGGATGGGGGCCGGTGTAGTTGGTGCCTGGGGGGGACACGCTGGTCCCCGCTGAGCTCTGGCCCCCGCGGCAGGTCCAAGACCAACGCGCTGAACATCTCCCAGAAGATGATCGAGATGTTCGTGAGGACGAAGCACAAGATCGACAAGTGCCACGAGTTCGCGCTGGTGGTGGTGAACAACGACGCCACGTGGGTGAGTGGGGCCGCGGGGACAGGGACGGAGACGGGGGGGGACACCAGGACGGCGACAGCTCCGTGCCCCCCTCACCCCGGCTCCTCTCAGCTCTCAGGATTCACCTCGGACCCCCGCGAGGTCTGCAGCTGCCTCTATGACCTGGAGACCGTCGTCTGCAAGTCATTCAGTATCCCACCGCCTGTGGGGCTGGGCTGGGGGGGCTGGGACCCTGCAGAGTCCCTTGGGTGCAAATGGACTCCCTTGGGTGCAAACGGGGTCCCTTGAGCATAAGCGGGGACCCTCCAGGCCTGCTGCCTGCAGATGGCAGCAGATCCGCAGCCGAGCTGGCATCCCCCGCGCAGCCGAGCCGGCTACGGCACAGAGCCGTGTCAGCATTTGAGGTTGGAGGGTCGAACCGGGTCCCTGAATCCCCCAAGGCAGGGTTTAACGCTGGACTCTCCAGACCCACCAAACACCCGTTTATTGGCGTTTTCTCCCCACCCTGGTCCATCCCCAGTGCCCGGTGCCATCGTCTCCCTCTGCGGGAGCTTCCTGGGTGCCCCCGTGCCAGCCTGGCTGCCGGGTTTAGGTGCCGTATGTCCCTGGGGGCAGGCAGGGGTCTGTGTGCCAGGATCAGTCCTTACCTGGGGCTGCAGATCTGGAAGGACTCTTCAACCTGATGTGAGTAGGGCTTGGGGGGGATGACGGGGGATGTTGGGGCGGGGGGGCGAAGCTCCCACCTGGCTACGAATTCTCTGCTTCGCTGTAAAAACACCATGAGCCTTTAACCCAAACAGCTCCTGGGGTGGGTGCTGCTTTCCCAGTCCTAGCCCAGAGCTGTCAGACTGTCATGAAGTTTTAACGAGGCGGGGGGGACGGTCCCTGAGCCGCAGGCAGCCCTGCCTGTGACACAGGGGTCCCTAAGCTGCCTCCGTCCTCCCGGCGCAGCCAGCAGAAGATCGAGCTGCCGGTGACGGAGAACGTGCAGACCATCCCGCCGCCCTACGTGGTCCGGACCATCCTGGTGTTTGGCCGCCCAGGCTGCCAGCCCCAGTTCTCCATGTCGGAGCACATGAAGGTAAGTTCCCCCCACTGTGCCCCCCCCACGGCATGAGCTCGGTGGCTCCGGGTCCATCCCGGCACATGGAAGACTCTCCCGGTGCCGTTCCCGGCTTCTTCTCCTGCAGAAGATGCTGCAGTGTCCCTACTTCTTTTTTGATGTGGTTTACATCCACAACGGGGTGGAGGAGAAGGACGACGAGACAAGCTGGAAGGTAAATACGGGATGGGGCGTCCCCCCCGCCGCCGCGGCTGGGGGCTGTGTCACCCCCTGCCCTCACTGCCCGTCCCTCTGTGTGTGTGTGCCTGTCTCCCCCCCCCAGGAGATGTATGCCTTCTTCAGCAGCCTGGACACCAAAGGCACCAACTACAAGTACGAGGTGTCGCTGACGGGGCCGGCCGTGGAGCTGCACAACTGCATGGCCAAGCTGCTGGCGCACCCGCTGCAGCGGCCCTTCCAGACCCACGCGGCGTACAGCCTGCTGGAGGAGGACGAGCCCCCCGAGATCGAAGCCACCGTCTGAGCCGGGGCAGGGGGGCGGCTGGCGGAGAAGCCGCCGCTGGCGAGGGGGTGGCCGGCAAAGGGCTGCCGCGGGTGGCCGTATGGTGTTGCTTGGGATTGGGGAAATTAAAACGCGTTTTCCTGAGCGGGTGTCGTGTTGATGCTGCGGCTCGGATTGGAAACGGGGGGGGGCGGGCCCCCCCCTCCCCCCCCGCCCCCCCCCCCCCCCCGGGCATGGGGACGGGGGCTCCTGTGCCTGCTGCGCCCGGCGGTGCTGGTGTGGGGACCCCGAGGGGCGGCTGGTGCCTGGGGCAGCGCTGGGGCTCTTGCCACTAACAGTGGGGCAGGGTGATGGGCGGTGCCGGTGCAGTTACTGGGGGGCACTGGGCGGTGCCGGTGCAGTTCCTGGGAAGCACTGGGAGATGCCGGTGCAGTTACTGGGAGGCACTGGGCGGTGCGGCCCCGCCCCTCCAGCTGCCATCACATCTGGCGGGGTGGGCGTGGCTTCCTTAGGCCGGCTCCCAT